CAGACACACAGCTGCTGCCCAGCGCAGCACCGGAAGTGGAACTGCTGGGAGAAAAACTGACTATCAGAAATGTAACGTTATCTTTGATAATATTTCGTCTCCTCATTTTTCGTCAACGAAAGTAAAGAGAGATTTTGGCATAGTTTTTATTTAGTAAACTACATTTTCGTCTCGTCAATTTTCGTCAACGATATTGCATGATGATTTCGTTGCAGTTATTGTTTACTGCCGTCAGTGCCGTCTCGTCATCGTCTCGTTTTCGTCATGGACAAAAAGGTCGTTGATGAACATATTTCTTTTTAGTCAACGAAATTAACACTAGTGTCAACAACATCTCAGCAGTCATGACACGTCACGTAAACAGGTCTCTGTTTTTAGAGAAGATGAGAAAAATAAAAAACAAGAGAAGAGAGGAAACCGAGGAGAAAGTCACTTAGCTGCACCATCGAAGTGGATCAACATGCTACCATTAGCAGCAGCCTCATCTCTAGGGATGTTCGTCACCCAGGAGAGTTTGAGGTAGACATGAAGATTGCCTCCGTGTCTTTGTGAGTAGAGAAGCGTTGTTGTGTGCCATCAACAACAAAGCGGAGGGTGCACGGGTAGAGGAGAAAGTATTTCATGTTGAGTTCACGGAGCTTGCGTTTGACTGGATCGAAGCTCCGGCGTCTTCTGGTAAGCTCGGGACTGAAATCGGGATATATGCTGATGTGTTTCCCATTGTAGTCCAGAGACTTTTTCTCCCTGGCAAGACGAAGGATTTTTACTTTGTCCTGGAAGTTCAGCAGCTCGATCATGATGGCCCGCGGGCAGGCACGGGAGTTTTGCCTGGCAGTCGGCGAGCGGTGTGCCCTCTCAATGATCGGCAGGGAAGGCATCTGGCACCAGGAGCTGCGGGATGAGCCGAGACATGAAGCCTATAATGTCACTGCCTTCAGCGGACTCCTGGATTCCTACGAAGCGAAGGTTAGAACGTCGGCTCAGGTTCTCCAAGTCATCAACTTTAGACATTAGGAAGGAGTTGTCTTTCTCAAGCTGCTTGACTCGAGCGACACACTCGTGTACATTGTCCTCATTAGTCAAATTACATACTGAATACCACACGGAGCAACACTGTGAGCGCATACATTTACGTACACAGCGTGGGGATGTCATAGTAAAGCACTTTAATACATGGAGTAAAGGTCACCATCACAAAGCAATTCTTAACAATAACAACAACCGTAATGCTTTAGCATTAAAACACCATAGACTGTAAATATAAGGAAAACACAGACACTCATCACCGAGGACACAATATCAATCGATCCAGCAGAGGCCAAACACAGAAGATCAACAAAATATATGACATAAATGAACTTACCAAAGCTGAAGGCTCACTTGAAAAGAAAAGCGGCACGGCGGTCCTTCCTCTGACAGAATGTGTCTATCACTTTGGGGATGAAGTCCTGTAGTTGCTGGATCAACTGGCTTTCAATTGAAAGCATGGCCAATGCGTTAAGTCGCGGCTGTCCCATGGTGTTGCGAGTGAAAGTCTTTATCCTTTTGAGGGTGTAAAAGTTCCTCTCTGACTCGGATGTCATCATCGGAGTTGTCTCAGTGTATCCTCCAAGTTGTTCTCGTGAATGGATTTCAACAGAGACAGGGCAGTGTTTCCAGTGTGAAGCTCACTGTGGCGGTAGAGCGTGGTCAGCTCAGACTTCAACTTCTCCTTGTTTCCCAACGCAGGTCAGTTTCACAGCGCAGTCAAGCTCAGGTGTAGGAAATGACAGGACATGCTGTGGGAAGAATGAGCTGTCAACAAGCTTTGCAGCGATCAAATGGTCACTCTGTGAGAACCTCTGTTCCACCTGTGAGATGACTGTGTCACAAGCCTCCTTCATCACCGGCGCTGTGCTGCTGACTTGCCGGCCTGGCTCGTCTGTTCCATCATGAGCGGTGGCGGCCAATGCATCAGTTTGCTGCCTCATTTTCTGGACATGTTCCTTGAAACGGCAGAGCGCGCTGTTGATCCCAGGTGCATCGATGCTTCGTTTTTGCAGAGTGTTGTATAAAACATCCACTTCTGGCATAAGCAACGAACAAAACTCCAGGAGCTGCATAAATGCTCGGTCCCGCAGTTTCTTTGACAGGCCGTATGACTCACTTATGGTGACCGCATCCCATCCTGGTTGTGCGCGTATATGCTCCATACACTGAAGCAGTGCTTCTCGGGTCTCCCAAACCGCGTTCACAGTTCTGCTTTTAAAGTTCCATCTCACAGTCGGTGGCCGTGAAATGCGTCTCTGTGTTGCCTCTGCAAGAGCTGCAACACGTTTTGGAGCACCGGAGAAAAAAGAGGAAAAAAGCAGTTAGATCTGCAAAAAACACCTTCAGGATGCTCATCCTTGCTGAACTGCTGCAGGGTCAGGTTCAGTTGGTGGGCGTAGCAGTGAACTAACTGAGCGTTTGGGTACGTCTCTTTCATCACCGTCTGTACCCCGTGCACGTTACCGCTCATGACGGCCGCCCCGTCATAGGTCTGAGCGATTAGCTTTTCTTTCAGCTTCCGGGGTTCCAGAACAGCCTTGATGCTGTTAGAGAGACCTACACCAGTTGTGTCCTTTACTTCCACAAACTCCAAAAAACGACTCAGCGTTAAACCCACGTTTAACTTTGCCCGCAGTCTGGACCATTTGGAAATCCGGTGGATGGTGGGCACCGAGGCGCTTTACCCCCAGTTTCTCTCCGAGACTAAGTGTCTCAAATGTGTGCTCCAGTAAATGGTCAACTTCATTCATTTTCTTTCAGTTTTTTACTTATTTTAATGGCTGGTGATGTTAGATATATGCTGCTCTCTCGTCTCCTCTTCAAACTACACGTGACGTTTCGCAGCACTGCACACGTGACGTTTACAGCCAATCAATTCTGAATTATGTGAGATGACGTATGGTGGGGATGGCAGCTCAATGCCCCTATGGTCATTATTTTTTTGCCACACACATTAAATAGAAAAATACTCTGAGCATGCGCAGTGTAGTTTTTACAGTCAACGTTCACTTAGACAGTGAGAGGGAGGGGCAGGATCGGGTTTTGTCCCACATGGCTCTAAACAGCTCAAAACGGCACCGTAGACACTAATTAGAAGAACACAGACTAAAACATCAATGTACAGATGAATCGGATGCAGGTGGGGCAAAGCGCCATCTTTTTTTTAACATGAGTGTGTGCGGGGAGATTTCCTTTTGATTCTATTGGCTCTAACGGTCAAAGAGATGTCACATGTCAAAATCGAAGAAGGGGGGCCAGAGATGAGGAAAATCCACCCAAATGACCCCAGAAGTGTTTTTTTCTTGCTAAATCTGTCTAAAAAGGTCATATTTCACTTGTTTCCCATCAATCTTGATATAGGGTACTTATTATATGTTGTAGTTTGGATTCCAAATGCTTTTAGTCTACCATACCATCATCCAAGGGTGGTTTTCACTATAAGTAATTATTATTTTTTGGACGGACACAATAATTAAATTGTTTTTACTGTGTTCAATCTGAATTTACTTTGAAATAACAACATCTATATTGATTCTGACACTTCTACATCATACTCACAGGTGTAACCTTGCTTTGAGAAAAAATATTATTAATTTAACCCTTTTAGAAGAAAATATATGGTCATTTGTTCTGGGAATGTCATTTTCGAGCCTGAGACCTGAAAAACAGGCTTGGGGCTTAACAGGTTAAGAGGTTAATCACCGAAAAATGCAATTACGATAGAAATTGTCCCCTGTCAAAAGTTTCTATGGTGTACTACTCAAGCTCAAGGTCATGGCTTCTTCATTTGTTTTTTTCTAGAGGTTTTTTAGAATTCTTCATAATTTATTGGGTCTTTAAAAATTGCCTGAACAATTTATCAGATGTTATGATAGTGATTAACTACCATAATGTTCGAAGCCTTTACGCGCTTGTAAAATATTTCGAATGGATCCATGTTTCTTAGAGATTTACAATTTTAAAAATGTTACACATTGCTGAGTTGCATCTTAAATTAATATTAATATTTCCAACTCTTACATGATGTATACCCCTTTTATGTGGCGTATACTATGTACTCTTTTATATCCTCTATACCCTGCCCTTCAAAGAACAGAGAATAGGAAGGTGTAAAAGGTTTTGGGTTTTCAAAGTCTCTGTTAACTAACTCAAACTCTGTTTTCTGTCCCACAGACTGAAGAGCGCAGCAGACGATGCTCTAAAACACCAAAGAAGTGTCTTGTTTTCTTCTGCAAAGACCCGAGAAATCAAATATATCAGGAAGAGGCAAGACCGGAGCTCACACATAACTCGAGCCCTGCATGCGGCGTCTCGTCGCTGCGGTTCTCTCTCTCTCTGTGTTCCTGAGAAAGTGTGTGTGAGCTCCAGCTCTTTTGATCCATCATCTGTGTGTCTGGATAAACCTCTGAATGGACTCTGTGCTCTTTTTTCTGGAGTGTTTACCTCGGACTATAGGAGCTAGCTTAGCATGCTAACTGGAAACACGTTAGCAACACTAGTCAGATTGAGAGTTTGACGGAGAGAGAAACGGTGTGTTTAACGGAGTCTGCAGGGAAAGGTGATCTAGGAAACATGAGTAAAGTCCAGATGCTGCTGTCGTTGAAGAAGCAGCGACTCACTGCTGCTAATGAAGAGATATTTGCTCTGTTTGAACAAACGATAGCAGAGCTCGAGGAGGAGCTGGCTCTTTCCAAAGAGGAGAACGAGAGACTCCAGAAACTACTGGACGCTGTTTTACAGCCTCAGCTTCGGATACACAGAGCAGATGTCCAGCAGCTGGTGGTGGTTAAAGAAGAGCCTCTCCCTGACCAGCAGGAGGGGAGCACCAGCCTGGACCAGGAGGACCCAGAGCCCCCCCCCACACATTAAGCAGGAACAGGAGGGAGAGCAGCTTCAGGAGCTGGAGGAGGCTGAGATCACAAAGTCCACTTTCACTCCTGACCCTGTGAAGAGTGAAGATGATGAAGAGAAACCTCAGTCCTCTCAGCCTCATCAAAGACAAACTGAACACATGGAAACAGAAGCTGATGGAGAGGACTGTCGAGGACCAGAACCAGCCAGCAACTCAGATCCAGAGAGCAGTTTACAACCAAAGACTGAGGACCACACTGGAGACTCTTCTGAAGACACTGATGACTCTTCTGAACCTGACACTGAAGACAGTGCTGATTGGAAGGAGACCAGAGAACCTGCCTCAGGCTCAAACTCACTGAAAAATAGACAAGAATCCGTCAGTGATCCCCGACGTAGTGCTGGAAAGAACCCATTCAGCTGCTCAGTCTGTCAGAAAGCTTTTAGATATAGACAAAAACTAGATCAACACATGAGAGTCCACACAGGAGAGAAACCCTTTCACTGCTCAGTCTGTAAGAATGCTTTTTCACAGAATATACATTTAAAGCAACACATGACAGTCCACATAGGAGAGAAACCCTTTCGCTGCTCAGTCTGTGAGAAAGCGTTTAGATATAGAAACAAACTAGATCAACACATGAGAGTCCACACAGGAGAGAAACCCTTTCGCTGCTCAGTCTGTGAGAAAGCGTTTAGATATAGAAACAAACTAGATCAACACATGAGAGTCCACACAGGAGAGAAACCCTTTCGCTGCTCAGTCTGTAAGAAAGCTTTTTCACAGAATATGCATTTAAAGACACACATGACAATCCACACAGGAGAGGGAGCACACAGCTGCTCAGTCTGTGAGAAAGCTTTTTCATGGAGTGGAAGTTTAAAGAAACACATGAGAGTCCACACAGGAGAGAAACCCTTTCGCTGCTCAGTCTGTAAGAAAGCTTTTTCACAGAATATACATTTAAAGAAACACATGAGAATCCACACAGGAGAGAAGGCATTCAAATGCTCAGTTTGTGAGAAAGCTTTTTCACAGAAGGAAACTGTAAAGAAACACATGAGAATCCACACAGGAGAGAAAGCATTCAAATGCTCAGTTTGTGAGAAAGCTTTTTCACAGAGTGGAAATTTAAAGACACACATGAGAATCCACAAAGGAGAGGAAATATACAGCTGCAATGTTTGTGACAAAAGCTTTAAATGGCGTTATCTTTTCAAAAGGCACAAGTGTGTTGGTTTAATGAAAATAACGGAGAGGCAGAGCCTCCAATCAGCAGCTCAGCTGAACACATGGAAACGGAAGCCGATGGAGAGGACAATGAATAAGTCTTGTGACTGTTCACACGCAGTGGCGACTGGTCATTAGGGGCAGGTGGGGCACAGCCCCACCTAGTGTCAGCAGAAAGTATTAAAAAAAATGATTAAGAAAAAATGCAAAAAATAAATTAAAATATATATAAAATATATTTTAAGATCATGTTTAATCATCTGATTCGTCTGTACATTGCTGTTTTAGTCAGTGTTCATCTAATTAGTGTCTACAGTGTGTGCCTATTGAGCTGTTTAGAGCCATGTGGGACAAAACCCGATCCTGCCCCTCCCTCTCCCTGTTTAAGTCAATGGTGACTGTATAAAACTACACTGCGCATGCTCAGAGTATTGTCCTATTTAATGTGTGTGGCAAAAAAATAATGACCATAGGGGCATAGAGCTGCCATCCCCACCATACGTCATCTCACATCATTCAGAGCTGATTGGCTGTAAGTACGTGTTCCGCGAAAAGTGTGGTGTGTGAAGAGGAGACGAGAGAGCTGCAGTGACGCGTCCTACAACCCGGAAGTAAACTGCGCATGGCTTCCCTCGACAAAAAAGCAATGATATTTCTCCAAAGGATTTTAGAAAATAGCTCAAAATAAGATCTGTGGGAAACAAACCTGTTAGATAAATGCACGTTTTGTTCAGCCGGATAATATCCACATGTCTACCCTACTTTTATAATTTTCGAATCATAAATCTATTGATTAGATTAGATTTATGATAGACTTTTGAAACTACAAGAAGATAAGGAGGACTTTTACAAAAAAGTAATAGAGATTTTTGTCCAGAGGGATAGGCAAATGGACTTCATCTTCATGTCAAGGTAAGACTACAATTTTATTGAAAATGGGATCTTACTAAGAGAGAACAATTACATATTTAAATGATACAATTACATCTTTTGGGTATCCTTTTGTTGAACTGTCTGTTTAAAATTAATTGAAGCATCAGATAAAAAAAAGCTTTTGAAAATAATATTATATTTTGATTAAGGTCAAAATATAATATTTGTAAACCTGAAGAGTAAGTGCCAGTGCCTCACCAGCCATGAACCTCACTGCAGAAGCTTATAGACATCTACGTTTTTTGTGCCCCACCACTTTTGTACATATAAAAACGCCACTGTTCACACGTGAGAGAAATCTGTCTGTGGACAATATGTTTCATGTTTTTGTCATTCTGATGTATACGTTAACCACTGACTGTTGATGGACCACTGCTCATTTAAGGTGGTCTGACCTTTACAATGGACCTTAGTGTCTTAATGCAAACGTTTTGTAAAATGACTGTTATCACTGTATTATACTGTAAATGAAAAAGGCTTTAATCCTTCATGAAAGTCATAATATGGCATCTGTATTTATGTCCATTTTTGATTAGAAAACGAAATATGTCAGACATAGTTATTTTGATTGGCTAAATGTATTTTTACATTCTCAGTTAGCTTCAGGCCTCAGAGGAGAAGTATTGAGGTAGAAAGCTGGTGAAGCCATTTCCTTATATTCTGTTTGCACAGATAATAAACCTGGTTGGCAAGAAGGAAGTCATATTCATTCGACCACACAACACAACGCAGAGATACATAAATAGAGAAAACGGATATAATTTGTAAGTGAATTTATTAATGTGTTTAATAAATTCTGGCTAGGACAACCACACAAACGGCAGCAACTTTCCCTCGCAGCAGTGGAGATGGAGCATCAGAACCTGGAGAATACAGCAACAACAACAAGGATCCATTTGGAGATAGGTAAATGTAAATATTACAGTAATAGTGTACTTTCATTGTTTGGGTTTAGAGAGAGAGAGAGAGAGAGAGAGAGAGACTCCTGTCCCACCTCCCCATTTTATTTTGAGTTGTGCATTGTTATTTGTGCTTGAGAAACATTCCACTTGAACTTTATATTTTAATGAACTTAGTAATGATTGTCCTGTATTTCTTTCCGATTTCACAGCTGCCTGGGCCTAGCAGCAAGAACCTCCATCTGTGCCTGCACCCAGGTCAAGATCTACCGTGGCTCAAGGGCCTTCACCAGAGCCATCACCACCAAGGACCAGAGGAGCAGCATCACTACAGCAGCCTCCACCTCCATCTGTGCCTGCCACAAGATTAAGATACACCTCGTACAAAGGCCACCACCACAGCCATCACGATCAACCCAGCCAGCAAAGAAGTCTCGCCTAGCACACCTCCCTCCCGCCGACACAGCCACCAGCAGCCCATGCACCATCACCCCCACCTACACAGCAGCCAGACCCACTGTCTTGGAAGAAAGACAAAGAACATGGCACTGCTCCCCCTGTCTTTACGTTTATAATGAATAGTTGGTTGAGAAAGTTCTGATATTGTCAGGGTTCGTACAGTCATTAAAAACCTGGAAAAGTCATGGAATGCAATATTTTTCCCAAAGTTTTGGAAAAGTCATGGAAATATAAATAAAGTTGCATCAAATATAATTGATATGTTATCTAATCGCCGAAATAGTAATACTATAATGATAATAAATACTGTATCGTATAATGAAACGTAAAATGGCAACTGTGGCAGTATTTTGCTGGTGAGAGATGTTTACAATCACGCCATCTAGTCTACAGGAGCTACTATTTGATATAAAGATGCCAGGGAAGTGCAGTTTCAACAATGTATGGCTTCTAAAGAATAAGTAATTGTGGTTATCAAAAGACATTGACCCAAGACGTGCTAAATGCAAACTGTGTTGTAACATATTCAATATTTCGAATATGAAAGAGTCATTTCTTTGGTCATGGAAAAGTCATTTAAAATCATTGGTGAAAAAGTGTATGAACCTTGTATTGTAAATATTGAGATTTTACAGTTTCTCATGTTAACATAAATATTTGGTTGAAAAAAGAAGTTGTAATGCTCAATTTGTATTTGTACACATCACATGAACCTCAGTATGGAATATGAAGTCATGAATCAGTCCTGATGTAACTTTTCTGTGGTGAAAGTAGAGTGATAGAACTATTTTACTCCAATTCTAATTTACACATTTTCATTTTAGACATGAACAACACATTTATATAGGCATATAGTGTAATTCATATATTTCACTACTTTTGTGAACCAAAAACGTTGGTAAACCAAATCTGAAACACCAAAAAAAATGGATGACATGAGTACATCTGTGTTTTCACAAGAGTTAAGTTTTACAAAAATCTGATTTCTAAGCTAAGTATCTCATAAGACAGTGCTCTAAGGTGAGTGACATTGCATTTCTAGCAAGACCAGAGACTGAACATTTTGATATGTTACACCATGCCATGTTATAAGAAGTACATTTAAAAGGTGATTTAAGGAGACATAAATACCCTTCACTTCAGTTAGGAAAAGGGACCACATTACTCCTGTTCTGGCTGCCTTACACTGGCTCCCTATAGAACACAGGATAGAATTTAAAATGCTTATTCTCGCCTACAAAGCCCTTAATGGGCAGGCGCCATCTTACCTTAAAGAACTCATTATACCCTACTGTCCTACTAGGGCATTGCGTTCCAAGAATGCAGGGTTGTTGGTTGTTCCTAGAGTCTCTAAAAGTACAATGGGAGCCAGAGCCTTTTCTTATCAAGCTCCACATTTGTGGAATCAGCTTCCAGTTTGTGTTCGGGCGGCAGACACCCTATCCGTTGTTAAGAGTGCGCTTAAGACCTTCCTTTTTGATAAAGCTTATAGTTAGGGCTGATTAGATTCAGCCCCTAGTTTTGCTGATAGGTTTAGTTTGTCAGGGGACATCTTACTTCTTCCTTCTCTCTGTCTATACCTGTGTACTCTCATGTTCTTATTAACCCAGCTTCCCCAAATGTCTTTCTTTTTGGTGTCTATATACGCCGGGATCCGGAGTCATGGATGATCCTGCGCTCCTGTGTCCTGCATCGCGAGCCATGGATCTTGAGTCGTGGCTGTGGTCCTGGATCATAGGTCCTGGATGGATATCCTCGTGGATTCATCTTCCTATTATACACACATGCATTTCCAAACATTTGGACTACCTATGTTGCAGATGTATTATCTTTTCAATTTACACACGGCATCTATTGCACGTCTGTCCGTCCTGGGAGAGGGATCCCTCCTCTGTTGCTCTCCCTGAGGTTTCTCCCATTTTTCCCTTTAAACTGTGGGTTTTCTTCGGAAGTTTTTCCTTGTACGATGTGAGGGTCTAAGGACAGAGGGTCTAAGGACAGAGGGTCTTAGGACAGAGGGTGTCGTATTGTCATACTGATATTCTGTACACACTGTGAAGACCACTGAGACAAATGTAACATTTGTGATATTGGGCTATATAAATAAACATTGATTGATTGATTGACTGTAGTTCACTGAGCGGTTTCACACAAAAAAATGTGTAACTTCACAGTTTTACGACACATTTTATTTTTTGACTTGCAAAATGTTCTTTTAAATTGACAAACATCATATGTGTCATTCGTGGCACAATTCAAACGGGATCAAAAGATAACCTTTCTCTCTCCATTGACTTCAATGTATAATTTTCCGCTTCCGGGGTCCCATGGAGGCTCCCGGAAGGGGAGGGACTTCGCCTCTTTATTGCTCTTAAAACTCATTTCCCTGCTTCTCGTGGTTTCCTTGCATCTCTCCATGCTTCCCTGGTAGGAGGGACGAGTCACAGGGAAACGACGCAAGTGAGGGACGCAAGGAATCCATTTAACCGAAGTGAGGGGCCCATAGAAACGCCACTGCACACCGGTGAGCCATTTTGCCGTTTTTTAGCTACCTAGCGCCACATGTTTTGATGTGTGTTCTTGTCATTATCTCCGAGAGTTCGTATGATTGAGTGATAATGAGGGTACCCATCGATTCTGTGTCCCCTCACGATGTGAAACGATGTGTTGAGATGTGCAGCAAAGATAAACAATAAGGTTTTGTGAGCAGGG